ATAATAATAATAATAATAATATACACTGACGCCCATCTGATGTTTCATCAATCTCCACACTTGCGCCCATAGTTAGTTAAACATGAAATACAAATAATTACTTATACGAATATATGACGACGATGGCATTTTCTCATCTACATCATGTCTCCCGTATAAGAAAAATACAATATATAGTACGTATATAATATAGTATATATAAGTACAATGACAAATATGGAACAAAGAATTAAATCTCTTCGTAGATCTGGACTGTCATTATACTTCCTGATCGTTTTTTCACTGCATGCACTACATCTCTCCGGTTTCAACCGGTTACTGTATTTTTACCTCCGCCAGGGGCGTGGCGGAGGTTATGTTTTCACCGGCGTGCCATTGAGTGTTGGTTTGTGTGTGTGTGTGTTATCACATGACAGAAAAGTGTAACCATAATAGAGGTAATTAACCATATCTATGGCTCTCACAATTTACACAGCAGTAAATTATATTGTGTTTTGTTTCTGCCAAATACAACAGATCATATGCCACCATATGTTTGCCAGTAGGCCTACTATAATTTTTTATTTGACCAGTTCGTGTATAGTACTTATTTCCTATTAACGCATCGTTTTGGCTCTGTTGTAGTTATTCGGGGCTCTACATCACCTATCTCTTCTTGATACTACAGTTTGAAATTAGCGTTCAACATTAATATTTCAAGAAAAATGTGCAAGGTCGAAATGGATTTAGTTGCAGACGGATTTGCGATCAGTTTATATAGCGAGATATCCGTCCGTGCATCAAGAGACCTTCGCCACTACATGGATAGTTAAACGTATACAACACGTTTGTGTCAGAAAATGATGGATATTGTGTTAGCATGCTCTGTGTCCCTGCTTCGCTGACGTAATAATTTTATATATGATAGTCTATTGCCACGCTGTGCATACGGATTCAGTCTGTGCGAAATAACGACATGTTCCCCGCGAATATTTGGCCATCAAGCATTAGGGATCGTATATATTTAGTCGTTTCAAACACACCTCGCTTCCCAATGTAGTTGGTTGCAATAATTAATAGTAACGTGAGGAATTATAAGAGATTTGTCCAGCTGATTTTGCCTGGGCAATTTTTTACAGTGAGATAAGCATCAATACACCGAGGAAGGTGTAGGGCTCATAGCACTGTTTTTAGATAACTACATTAGTGCAGCTGCCATCGGCTCACAAGTATGGCAGAAACAACGACTAAAGCGCACCCATGAAGTGTTGTCCGAGAATAACGCCAACAATGATCAAGACGTATTTAACACTTTGCGGTGTTATCTATTCATAATGCTTCTTGATAGGCTTTAGCTAGAAAGTCGTATTTATGCGATGTATATGTTATACGGCGGTGCGACAGTAAAGAAGTCGTCTGTTCTGGCTGGGATATTTTCCACTGGGCATCATCGATGCGTAACGTAATCGCAATTCTCATTATATATCTAGTCCTTAATTCACGTCGTTTCTCGTATTCATTATTTCGTTCGAAGGTTGCTGTCGAAAATTCGAAAGCTTGGACACAGATAATAATATAGTGAGAAGATTTATTTATGCGTAATGATATTGGTATTATATTTAACAACATTGACCACAGGTTGATATTGTATGTAAGTCATGGTTTGGCAACAGTAACCTATTCCACATGCGCTTAATAATGAACATCTTTGGTAAAACGCAACTAGTGTCAGATAGCGTCTGATGTAAACATTTGAAATCAGCTTTTTCAATACAGCACTATGGTACTATAGTTTTACTCTGTAGTACCTGACGCGAGTATAGTACAATGCATGACATTTTAGTGTATGAGTTTATATACCGGATTGCAAGAATGAGATCCCACTGCAAGGGTTTATTTGTCTAGCTAGACACGCACTTATTTTCTCGGTATAAATCGTTGCCTGTAGGCTGTAGGTTGGTGAACGATACCCATTTCACCTGTCAGTGGTGGCGGCGATTCGCCCTCTGGTGTTTGAATATGGAATTGTTGTAAAATAGCAGTAAAGAATAGCAGCAGCTCCATTCTAGCAAGCATCTCTCCGAGACACACACGCCAGCCTAGAACAACGCACGCCAGATTATTCCACCACGAATAAGTGACAATGACGACATGTATGAATATATACATAATATCTTGATAATATATATATATATATATATTGCGGCGGCGGTGTCTCTGGCTCACTCTCCTGCGCGCGCGCGCGCGACTGGGCCGCGGCGCAAGCGCGCGTGCGTGTGTGTGTGTGTGTGTGTGTGTGTGGGTGTGTGTGTGTGTGTGATGTGTGTTGTGTGTGTGTCGCTTGAGTGTATGTGTGCGTGCGTGCGTGCGCGTGCGCGTGTGCGTACGTGCGTGCGTGCGTGCGTGCGTGTCGTGTGTGTTTGTTTGTTTGTGTGCGTTAACAGAATACTCGCCACTTGTTTAAAGACGTGTTAGGTAAGAATTTTACGTTTGTGCGTTTACTCGTTGAATAATTTATTACATAAATAATGCTTTCGATCGTTTTCGCATATTTACATGTGTAAACTGCGAGATTTCACGGCCAACATTAATGATTTGCTCGTACCTATCGAGAACGGCATTAAACGTTCGCACAGTTTGCTGCTTAGACTGCCATCGGCGTCCAGATATCGCTCCGGTTTAAAGGCAGTCGGGTCTGGGAAGTTCTTGGCGTCGCGATGTATCGCCCATAGGTTTGGTAGAATCATGGTTCTTGCGGGAATGGTGTATCCACGGAGGCTCACGTCCCGGGTCGTGGCATGAGGTACGCCGAGAGGAACAAGCTGCCCTGTAGCATGTGTGGCACAAGGTAGCTTTAACACTATTAATAATAATCAAATAATAATAATTAATAAATAATAGTAATGACATAATAACAATAAACAATAATGCATACTCATCATCTCATACAATCGATCATAATGATAATATAATATAATAATATAATATTATATATGTATAATAGATAAATAAATAGAAGCCTGACGGCCCATCTGATGTTTTCATAGACAATGCTCGCACACTATGGGCGCCCATACGTTGAGTTAGCACATGAAATACAAATATAATACTTATACGAATATATGACGACACTGCATTCTTCTCATCGGTACATGCATGTCTCGTCGCCTCGTATGAAGGGAAAAAATAAAGCAAGTATATAGTACGTATATAATATTTAGTAATGAGTATGGTAAGTACAGATGACAAATATGGAACAAAGAATTAAATCTCCTTACGTAGATCTGGACTGTCATTAATAGCTTTCGCTAGTGTGGAGAGGGTGAGATAGATCTCTCCTTTCAACCTTATTTTTTACCCTCGCCCACTGCGGAGTATGTGTGGTCGGCATGATGTGTGGTTGGTTGTTGGTTTAGCCCCATCACGTTTTCAGTGCAGGACTTCCCTAGGTGGCGCGTACCTTACTTTACAAACACTACAACATTTCCCCTATTCCTTCGAGTTTATTGTGTGTGATGTGTAATGTAGATTAATTAAGGGTTCATTTTTCGCACTTAATTAATTAGATTAAGTTAATAAAAAATTTCACATTGAGAGAATTCAGCTGCCTTGGCGGAGGTCTGTGCTCTCCGAGTGCTCTAGTTTTTCATATAATCGTCATGAAAAACGCTCTGTTTGCCGTGCAAATACGGCACCTAATCTCTGTATCTCCATGATAGTGGCCTCGGTGTACGGTAGCAGCGGTCTATCCTTCATAGAGGGCAACCGGGCATCGCCGATCACCGCATCGATTTCCGCCTGCACTTTTCTCTGAACATCCGGGTAGTTTATCATGTAGACGAAGCCCCATCGCAGAGTTGTCGCAGTGGTTTCCGTTCCCGCGCCGAACAGCGATCCGATGGCAAATATAAGCTCGGTCTCTAAATTACACAAACATTATAAGTACATCTCATCGCCAAATAGATCGATCTCTGTATACATACGATTAAACATAGGATTACATACATAGTATATGCATAGTATCAGAAGTAGATAATATAGGGAAGGAGTGTGACTTCAATAAACAAGGGAAATTCGTCATTTACTAGCCTTAGAATACCTACGATAGTACCATGCATAGTATCATGATAGTATATGCATAGTATATGCATAGCATATACATAGTATCAAGAGCGTATAAAGAAGCTATATCCTTCTTTATACGCTCTTGATAGTATATGTATAGTATATAGACAGTATATACATAGTATTATGTGGTAAAATATTATATAGCATAGTAGTAAAATACATAGTATATATAGTATTTATACACCATATACACACGATTAGTGGTTATGGGTATCTGGCTCGTAGCTTCACTCGTTTTCCTGTGTTACCCTAAGGGGCCATTCCGACTGCATCCCTTGCCACAATTACAAGAATTTCACAGTATTTTCGTTCGCGATGACAATTATAAATATGGTTGAGTCTTGGATTACAATTTCTCTTCGCGGGCGGGAGTTGTTAGTTTATCAGGGCGCCTTCGTATTCCTGCGTTCTCAGCAAGTTGAGACGGTCTTGTAAAAAGCTTCACTGTTTGGTTTGATAATGTCCCTACCCCGTCCTCCAATCCAAAGTCCTCCAGTCCCCCATTCGCCCATCCTCAAGTCGCCTCATCTAAATAGATCCCTCGTCCCGTGCCTCTATTTAAACCAGCGTCGCCTACCTGTAAACGTTTCGCCACCACGCTTTGCCGTCTTGACGTCTTCGATGTGCTTAAGATATGCATCGATGAAGTCCCGCACGTGCTCCCTGTCCAGCGTGGCCTTGTGTTCGTCTATGCGCCGCTGAAAGTAGGCGAAAGACTTCACGCGGCGGGCGGCGAACCCTTGCATTAGCTCCCTGCCGAGCCCGGGCACGAATCGCAGGAATGGCATAAAGTTAATTAGGCCGGACACGCTCGAGTTTCGCACGGAAATGTTCAGTCTCTCGAGCATCTCTCGAAATTCGGCGTCGTCGTAGTCGAATCGATTGCCGAAGACGATGTTGCAGATAACGTTGGAAACTGCGTTGCCCATCAGCAGCTTGCTGTCGAACGCCTGATCGGATTTTTCTCCGATTTCGTGCAGTAGTGCCTGCACCTCCTCTTGGATTTTACCCTCGAGCGAAATCTTGCCCATGCCGAATTCACGTAATGCCTCCAGAGCAAACTTCCTCTGTTCTCGCCAGTGCGCACCCTCGGTTAATATTAAACCTGAACAACAAAGGTGATAACTATGAATGGGCTATTATTACCGGTTATGTCTCGGAGTTTTATCAGGAGTGATAAGAACAAAGTTCCTGTTTTGATTCACTTACTTCTAGTTTTGCCATCAGTACGATCAATCAAGCGTTTTAATTAGCAGCAAAATGCTATAATTGGTTTTCTTGCTCAATCGTATAGACATGCTCATGAGCAAGACGTAAGCGTATAAGCGCCAATATTGTGTGTTCACACGTTTCTTAATTTACCGTGCACTCCATTGTGGTCGCTTGATGATGTTTTTATAACGTACAAATCCGGCCTGCCCGAAAAGACGTCACCCATTTTTAAGAAAGCTTCTTTAACGGTATCGTAGTCGTTCAATACGACGGTGAGCATGTTGCCCATGTAAACACTAAAGATGTTTCCGTATTGCTGCGACATAGACGTCAACGTGAGGTGCGGGTTTCGTCCTAACCGAAGGAGGTTTCCGAACACGGGCCAGCCTGCTGGTCCTGGCGGTATCCCGGATGGCTTTCTCGTCATGTACACGTACAGGAAGACCGATGCAATACCCAACAGTAACCCTACAGGCTTGCCCAGCAGGAAGTTCCATATTACAGATGCGTCCATCTTGAATCAATGCAACGTAGTTTTTATATGAATCGCACGCTACTTGCGCTTCGCTTACTCAGCAAATCGTCTATGACTTCCGCGCACATGTACAAATATGTTGTCGATGTGGAAGATAAATAATCCAACCGTGACCAGAGCTGCTGTACAAAGTCCACGGAATCGTGGGCAGTAGTGCGTACGATCTATACGCCCTATGTGTTAATACGAAGTAGGCGCTTAGCGATGACTATATAAATAACACCCAGCTCGGTAAATCACAACTGAGAATCGAGGTGCAGGTCCAGGGTGAGATTATGGTAAAACAACTTGGAGTAAACGTCGGAAATCGACGTCGAATTGACGTTACAAAATGAACTGGATTCGCCAATTGCATCAACGTTAAATAGTTTCAACGTCGACTTTTTAACGTTAATTCAGTGTTGAAATGCACCAACGTTGGTCAACGTTGATGTGCCAGTTGACGACAGTGTTTCAGCGTTAAAATATCAACGTTGCTTCAACTACTCGTTCACGTACTAAATCGAGTTTTTCTCATAGTCCGACACTCACACTTTGTAGCAAAGTAAGATTTGGGGATCCGAACTGCAATACAGAGACGCTAGCATTCTAGACAAGACTAAATAAATATATTATCACTGTCATCAGGTATGAAACAACATTTGATCTGCTCGAAACAAACACGCTCTTTTATCTCTTCTTATCTCTTATCTTTTACCTCAATAAAATGTGATAAACATACATTATATTACACTGAACTACAGAACAGAATGGATTTTTAGTGGTACCTCAATGTACAAATGAAACACTCTGAAGGAATATATATATCTGAAAAAGTATTTGCCACAATGACTTTATATGTAACATTTTTATATTATTCGCATATAAAATATACAATATTCGTATGTTCAATAGTTCCATAGTTCTTTGTTAGAATAAAGCTAGACTACCGCACACGATTGCTGCTACATATTGGCCTATTGGCTATATAACTACATGATTATAAGTTCTCACATATCATATCTTGAGTACAATAATACATTATTTTAATTTGTCTTTCACACACGGCCTTGCACGCACACACGCACAGACTCACACGCGCGCACACACTCGCACACACGTACACACAAGGAAGGCGCGCGCACGAGCGCGACGCGAACACCACACAACACACACACAACACCACACACCTGTGCGCACTCACACTCCACACACATAAAAGGCACACACACCACAAACACGACACGCCACAAACAATATACAGAACAGTGTCACACACCATCACACCACACACCACGAGACAACCCACATGCCCCACACCAACAGCACACACAGTGCATGACACGGATGATTTGCTTCACTTTTTTGTTCTTTGTGTTTACATGTTTTTATGTTCCCATCCAAAACTTGTTTGCTTCACCTCTTTGCTGCACCGTGCCCAACCACAGTTCAAGCGAGTAGCGTCTATGCCGCGTTTTAAGTGTGTAAGAAATTTTATACATCTATGGGTGGATTTTTTCCCCGCGCAAAAGTTTTAGCATATTGTGGCTATGTCAGATATAATCTCGTCTATACTAACGAATTCGTGGATATTATTCAAAAAAGGAGTGCACTTCTTTCACGCCTGTCGCAGTGATTGACAATTTATCGACAAGCTCGTTTAGTGGCAGATTACTAGGGCCAGATGCATGAATGGTTGGATTCGGAGCATCTCTCCCCACGCATGTGTGTGGGCGTTTTATGTCAACCGAATGAACGAAAGCGCAGTCTAATTTTTATGGGGTCGTTTAGAGAAGGGTTTTTATTCGCGGACCTGTTTTAATGTCGTATACATACAGTTTATATAATTATTAAACTAAATGGATGCAGTATTCTGGGCTATATGAGTTTACATTTTAGCTGCATGAAAGATTGTTATATATGTAATAATATCAGGAAATATCCTATTGGGTAACTTTAAATATGTGGGAAAGGGAAAGTGCTCTTGAATTATTTTTATTAATGAGATAAGAAATTCCAGATCGAAAATAGTAATAGTAAAGTTAGGCCGCCCTATATAATCGGCGCGGCATACATCATACATTATACTATTATATGTGGCGTGTGTGTGCGTGCGTGCGTGTGCGTGTGCGTGAGCGTGTGTGTGCGTGCGTGCGGTGCGTGCGTGCGTGCCTGCGTGCCTGTATCTGTGTGTCTGTGTTGCGTGGTGGACGTACGTGGTAGCGCGTGCGTGCGTGCGTGCGTGTGTATGTGTGTTTTGTGACTTGTGAGTGTGAGTGTGTGTGTGTGTGTGTGTGTTGTGTGTGTGTGTGTGTGTGTGTGTGTGTGTGTGTGTGTGTGTGTTATGTGTGTAGTGTGTGTGAGAGAGGCGGCGTATAAAGGAACGATCAGAAAGAAGATGGAAAGGTAAGGGAACGGAAGAAGGTATTTTAATTTTCATCGCGCGCCGATGTTTCGTTGCATCTACTGACGCAAAAGTAGAGATTTTTAAAACCTATTGAGCGATTAGCTTTTTAGAGCTTAAATTCGGCACTGCACAGGCTTAGCGAACACTTGTACAATAAAGATTATATGCAGCCAATTTCCCCCTGCCGCGTAAGCGTTGATGGTTTGTGATTACGTCCATAACAGATTGTTAGTAGAGCGTGCGCTCAGAACACAACCAGAAAAGATACTCATATTGTATTGCATTGTACTAACTATTTATTACTCCGCCAAGAGGGGTTGTGGCCAATTATTGCGCAGGAGGTTAATTTATATTCAGCACCGGCGTGTGTTTGACTGTTTGTATTGTGGGTTTGTGGGTTTGTTTGTGTACAGTCTAACTAAAAAAGTTAGGAACGGATTGTCATAAAATTTTCAGGTTAGGTCAGAAATCGGGTAACTCAGAATTGCTTACATTTTGGTGGTGATCCGGATCCAATTAATTAATTAACTAATTAATTAATTAATAAAATTTTCAGGATAGGTCAGAAATGGGGTAACTTAGAATTGATTACATTTTGGGGGTGATCCGGATCCAATTAATTATTTAATTAATTAATTAATTAATTAATTAAACTTTTCACTTAATTAATTAATTAATTAATTAAAATTTTCAAACTGAGACAATTCAGCTGCCTTGGCGGATGTCTGTGCTCTCCGAGTGCTCTAGTTATATATATATGCCAGCGTTCCATAGTAAAATGCAATAATATGAGTCTCTTTTTTTGGGTTGATGTTTGGGACTAACAGTGTATTTATGGATGTATTTATGGACGATAACACTGATCTGGCTGGGTCCCTCTACGTGATTTGTTGTGTTTACTGATAATGACTGGGTGGAATCATAGGAGAGGTCATTATAGTTGTCTGTCTCGTCGAACCGAACTCGCTGCTCCACCCGGTTCTGCACGCCATCTAGCGTGTTCACGGAGAGATGTTGGGGCTGTACCTCGACGCTGACCCTGACTCTCGTCTTCTGTGGTTACGATGTATAACGCATACAAACCGCGGCCACGAAAATTAACACATTTTGACGTAAATGATGAAACCCCCGGAAAGGGTTCAGTTGAAACAAAGAACAAGAAAAAGATATAAATTATACAAGTCGATGAATGGATGAGGTTCTTAGCAGCGATTTCGTTTGATTTTCGCCAGTTGAGCCTTTGAACGTTAATGTTACATAAGGTTGAAAAATATATTGGTAAAAAAAACAATATTGGCTTCAATTTAAAAAACAGTTTATTTATTAGATGAAGGATGTGACAAAAGACAAATTAGGCAAATCTCTCTGACATAATTATTGCACACGTTATCTCTCTTTCGCTCGTTTGCTTGTTCGCGCTTTCTCTTTCTTTCTTTCTTTCTCTCTCTCTCTCTCTCTCTCTCTCTCTCTCTCTCTCTTTCTCTCTCTCTCTTTCTCTCTCTACCAATTAGTCTATCCTAGTCACCTCTAGCTTTCGCACAATATTATATTACAGTATATTTACATGATGCGCTCTTTCTTCATAATCAGCTGAAGTTGCCAATTTTACATGAATATTATCATGACGATTAGTTCAGCCATTGAATGGCGCTACGCGGTTGTGTTTGCTGCTTCTCATCACCTTTCCTACCGCGGTTCTTATTGACGCTATTTTTCGGCCTATTGCTTGCGCAAAGTTCGCCATGCTTCCTACACTTTTAACCCTAGGTAAAGTACCAGAGGATGTGTTAGCCGGCATGAATGGCACGCTCTTAGTCTTCTTCGATGATTCTACTTCAACGACGACGTTCGTAGCGGTAACAGGCGCGGTTTGCTCTTTTTTCTTTCGCGAAAACAGGGCCGTTGTAGCTGATTTTCGTTGTTCATGGAGGTGCCGTCCAATAGGAAGTCGAGTAGCAGACAAGATGCCTTGAACACGGCGCAATCTATTGGGCAGCTTCTTGATCGGTCCCTTATCTCGAGCGTTAGGAAACGCGCTGTCATAAAAAAGTTATTCGCGTTATTACTATAAAGATGGTTAAGTCTATCAACTGTTATACGTGTTTCTATCGTACAATAAGTTCTTCAAATTAGAAATTACATGAATGAAGTCTTATGTACCTTTCCATCGGCTCGCACGCCTCCGTTTGTACTTGCAAAGTTTGCGATGGCTCATAATCTAACTCGTTATCTTCAGCCAAGGGTTTCACACAAATCTCTACTGGCGTTGGTATCCATCTGTCTCCTCTGCAGACGCTAGACAAGCAATTAATATTAATTACAATTAAGAATTATTAGGTCGAACAAATCAATTTTTTGCTCATGGGCAGCAGAAATAATAATATACTCTAGATCAATACTCGTAGGGTTTTCTAAAAAAAAAACTTAAATATATTAAGCGAAAACACTTTGTGCTTAACGTACTTGGTGGCACATGTGACGTTGGTGGCACTTGCAGATCTTTGAATGATAGTAGCTCCATCGATATTCTCCCATAGGGATTTAGTAGAAATATTCGGTTTTACTGCTGTGGCCTTCTTGGATGATTTTACTCTCCAGGCAACATCCTTGGGGCCGCGCGTGGAGGTATGCTCATCGTCAACTCCGGTGTAACGCTGCTGTCTGTCATTGGTATCGGTTAGAGGTTCAGGCGAAATTGTCTGTTTGAATGATTTAGTATCCATTGATGATATGATCCTCTTCCTAGCACCCGCAATTCTACAATCCATAGTCCGTCTTTCGCTAGTACTTGGCAAGTTGTCGGCCACATTGTTCTCTGTTACAGCTGCAGTACGAATTGCCTGCTTCATTGGAGCAGTAATACTTAATGATTTCATCATCTCATCGGCATCATTAGTGTCAGGGATACTGGTATTCTCATTCCTAACTCCTAGGCAGCTGTCATCTATGTTGTTCTTCTCAGCTACCTGTTGAGACGACCTCTTCACACTTTCAGAAAGAATTGCCCGCTTCATTCGTGCAGTAATGTCAAATGATTCTATCATATCATCTGCATCGTTAATGTCAGGCATACAAAAAGTAGTGACCCTTGCAGATTTAATCCTCTGCCGCGTAGTAATCTTAGGCGCAAGCACTGTCGTCTGACCATCGTTAATTCGTGATTGGTTGTCAGGTACACTAGTGCTTGCTATTACACTTTCAGAAAGAATTGCCTGCTTCATTCGTGCAGTAATGTCGAATGATTCTATCATATCATCGGCATCGTTAATCTCAGGCATACAAAAAGTAGTGACCCTTGCTGATTTAATCCGTTGGCGCTTAGTATTCGTATGACCAAGTACTGTCTTCTGCCCAACACTACTGTTTGGGAACTTGGCAGGTGTATTGTTATCTTCAGCTAGAGGTTGAAACAGACTTGCCTGTTCTTTAAGCCTAGTGACCCTTGCCGATTTATTCCTTTGGCGCTTAGTGTTTGTATGACCAAGTCGGTTGTATTCTCATCAATAATAGATTGGGAAGGCTGGTAGGTTGTATTGTTGTCCTCAGCTAGAGGTTGAGACAGACTTGCCTGTTCTCCCGAATGCGTAGTGACCCTTGCCGATTTATCCTTTGGCGCTTAGTGTTCGTATGACCAAGTATCGTTGTCTTTTCATTCATTAATAATTGGGAGACGCTAAAGGTGTATTGTTGTCCTCAGCTAGAGGTTGAGACAGACTTGCCGTGTTCTCCAACGTCGTGTGACCCTTGCCGATTTATTCTTTGGCGCTTAGTGTTCGTATGACCAAGTATCGATTGTCTTTTCATCCATTAATAATGGGGAAGGCTGGTAGGAGTGTATTGTTGTCCTCGCTAGAGGTTGAGAAGACTTGCCTGTTCTCCAAGTTCGTAGTGACCCTGGCTGATTTAATAATTTGCTGGCTTGTATAACTTAGCACTAACTACTTTCGTCTGACCCATCACTAATATTCCGGATGAGCTAATAGGTGCCTGGTTGTTCTCCAGCTCGAGGTTGAGATAAACATTGTTGAGTTCTCCAAGTTAGTAACTCTTGCTGATTTAATTACTTTGTCTCTTAGTATTCTTATGGCTTATGTACTGATATCTTGCCCAGCATTACTATTTGGGAAGCTGCAGGTATATTGTTGTTCTCAGTTAGAGTTCAAGCGACATTGTCTGTTTTTCCCAGAGTAGTGGATGTTGCTGATTTTATTCTTTGTCCTTTGTATTCTATGGCCATGTACTGTCTTCTGCCCAACATTACTAGTTGGGAAGCTGGCAGGTGTATTGTGTTCTCAGTTGGGCGGTTGAGACGAAAATCTCTGTTCTCCAAGCTTAGTGACCTTTGCTGATTTAATCTGCTTGCCTAGTATTCTTAGGACCAAGTACTGTCGTCTGCCCTCACCACTACTGTTTGGGAGGGACGTATTATTATAGCTGCAATAATACATTATTGTCGAATGATTCTATCGTCTCATCTGCATCGTTAATGTCAGGCTACTAAAAGTGGACGGCCTTGCTGGATTTATCCTTTGACGCGTAGTATTCTTATGACCAAGTAGTATCGTCCTGCTCATTAATTGGGAATCTGGCAGGTGTTTGCTGTCCTCAGCTAGAGGTTGGGTCGAAATTGTCTGTTCTCCAAGCGGTAGTGACCCTTGCAGATTTAATCCTCTGCCGGCTTAGTAATCTTAGGAGCAAGCACTGTCGTCTGCCCATCGTTAATTCGTGATTGGTTGTCAGGTACATTATTGCTCCTATTGCACTTCAGAAAGAGATTGCCTGCTTCAATTCGTAGCAGCTAATGATCGCAATGATTTCTATCATATCAATCGGCATCTTTTTAATCTCCAGCATACAAAATGTAGTGACCCATTCGCTGATTTAATCCTTTGGCGCTCATAGTAATTCGTAATGACCAAGATACTTGTCTTCTGGCTCACTAGTTGCATCACTAGCTTGCTGAATCGCTGTCGCCTACTGATTATGCTTCGAATAAATATGGGTCAGCCGTATTGTTTGTGGTACTGGTGGCAGCAATGCATTGTGCATGTGACCTCGCCTGTAAGCATTCCTGCACCCCCACCGACAGAACTAAATGTGTATCAATCGAAACAACTACGAGAGACAGAGTGATCAGGCTTCAATGGTTGTACCCTCAGTACGCGGATTGTTGTCCATAGGCTAAGATGTTGAGGCGGACATTGTCTGTTCGACCAAGCGTAGTCTTTCTTGCTGATTTTGTCCGCTGGCCTTAGTAGTCTAGGAGCAAGCAATGTCGGTTTGGCCATTGTCAATGTCTGACTGAGCTGTCGGGTTTCTAGTTATTCTCGGGTACGAGATGTTCATGTGAAATTGTATGTTACTGAATGGCGACAGACCGCGCTGAGTTTCCATCCTCTCCACAGTTGCACTACCGATTGTTCTCAGTTAAGAATTCAGATGAAAGTGGGCTGCTTTATCTCGCGAGCAATCCGCGGCTCGCATCACCACTCTAGGATCACATATATCTCTCGCATGACACATCATACGCCATACGCCGCCACGCTAGTATGCCATTCATCCCACTGCCTTATCCAACTGCAAGAAAAACATAGTAAGCAGACTATGTTGATACATTACTCGGACTAATGGAACTTCGATAGATTTGTAAGCATTGCTCTAGGTAAATACTTCGATGCGATCTGACTCACAACGGCCACAAGACATCGGCGCCCCAGCCCCCCCCCGCACGCCACAAAAAAAAAAAAGAAAAAAAGAAGAAAAAATAGAAGAAAAAAAAAAAAGAAGAGAAGAAAAAAAAAAAAAACATCAACACACACCCTCCCCCGCCCCAGCCGCTTCACTCACAAAGACTTCAATAACATAAATCTATAAGCAACATAAGTAATCCGTGAAACTTAAATAGATAGTGTAGATAGAGAGATATAGGTGTTAGCAAAGCAAAACACCCCTATCGACATAGTATCTCAACCAGAAAAGGCAGTCATCGAAGTAGACTATATGCTCATTTACATATTGGGAAGCTTTGATCGCCGAGTGAGTAGACTTGGCCATTTATGAATATAACAAAAGTTTAATATATATCAATATCTCCTTATAGATAAGAGGATAGAAACGACTAAAATTAAAATATATAAAAAGAGATAGTGTTTGCAAGCATTTCGTATTGCTGCAATGGATTATCTGATTTGCCTTATGATGGATTGCTATGCAGATGTATGATAGGAGTACGGCCGACGCTAGTGTGCAGAATCACTGTGTACGACATATAAGTATGGAAATATGTTCCAAAATTTTTGAATACGGTGTGATGTGCCCGATAGGAATAAACGTAAGACAGACATATAGATCGAGGCGGATAAACTAGGCTAGAGAGCAGAGATAGAAAGCAACTGGTATGAGATGAATGATTCTTGGTATGGATGACTAATTGGGGTATGGCGGAGAGATGATACTGATCGGTTATGGGCTAGTATAATGATGGAGAGAAAAATATACATAGATGGGTCACACCCCACCCACCCGTAGGTGATTGTCAATGAAGCTACTGCTGGAATGATAAAAAATAGAGATGAGAAAAGAGATATGATAATAAAAGAGAATAGAGACAAGATAAAAGACAATCAAGATGAATCTGAGTAGATATAATGAGAGAGATAACGGAACACTGAAGCGAGTATTAGGCGATATGCATGTAGCAACAAATGGCAATTATCAACAATAAGTGATTAACGTACCGATTCATGGAGAGGTGGAGACGCGAAGACTGTTCATTGCGCTATTGATATTAAAGTTTCCCATGCTCGCTCCGGCATACGAAGCAATCGTGATAGGTACGTCAACTAAACTTGAACGGGCGCTGCAACAGCGGACTCGCATCTTACACGACTGTAATATAATACGTATCGCATGTTTTATTAACCGCAGCTGGGTGCGATACGTTTGCGCACAGTTGCCTGTAATGGAAACCGTAGATACGTTGTATAAAGTGCTCATGCATGAATATATATTTCACGCATACATGCGTCATAACATGCTATATCCAAAAAACCTAATGACATAGATTACAGTGTGCTTGCTTACGTTTTTTTGCGCGTCAGGTGAGCGCTTTTCTTGAAAGTCTCTTCCACCAATTCTGGTTGTCTGCGCCGCGTACATCTCAGAAGGGATCGACGCTAGTAAATAGCCTCGTTTATTAGTCAGGTGGATGGCATCGCCACCCAATGCGAATACAGAGCTTTGACTAAGATCAGGCCTCTCGGTTCCGTCGAGTACGACCTTTTTGCATGAACCATGACTTCATACGCATCTCACGTAGGCTGTGATGGTATGCAGGGCTTCCGGCTGCTGCAGCATAATTCTTTTTTCCGCTAGAGATGATAAACGGAGGTCTAATCGGTATGTCTCATCGTGGCGTTTTATCGTAGATAATACGCGAACTCGTCCTACACGCCTGCCGCAGTTCGCACCCTGTCATTCAGTAATACTGCTTGGAAAAAAAATACAAGCAAACATCGAACTCACAAAAGCACACAATATATGGAATAGATAATTGAGAAGAAGAGATAATATGAATATCTATTAGAGATGAGGAGATAAGAAAAATAATATAGATAAATAATAAATAAGAAGATAATAAGACTAACCAGGGCTGAATATATCACTACCAACCCCAAAAAAGTCGATCTGGCCCGAGTATGTTCCCCATGATCGGCGTTTGCTCGCAGGCATATTCCTCCAGCGAGCTACGGTGCTCTTTGGGCCCGCAGGTAGAGCGGCACGTTTGTGAATCCGCATAGCTTTATCCCTTCGTCCACCGAAGCAGCTCATGACTGC